AGAAAATCACTTTAAGGTGACTTATGCTTAGAGATGTTGAGTATTTTGCCTTAAACAAAAAAGCTGTGTGTAGGAAGATGCTGGGCGGTTTTCCTTGAGCATGAAGGGGGGTTTTGAGGAGGTGGATTTTTGTTTTGATCTCAGTTGACAAGGAATGTGGCTGTTTGATGTAGTTTTTTTCGTGTCCATGGATAGAATTAAGTGTCATTGTGTCTTGGAAGGTGGCTGTGTAAGTGTAAGATGAGTGCGCAGGTGGTGGCAGTGGCTCCTCACTGGTGTAGGCTGCTCTTGTCCTCGTTCTGTGGCCGCAGCCTGCTTTGTGGACCATGTCGTGATTCTAAGTGCCCCATCACACTGCCCCTTTGTGTAGTAGGTGCCATATTGCTTTTCTTTCTGGAAGCTGTGCCCCCTCATTTTTCTGATCCTCCGTAGTTTTTTTTAGTCAGTTTATTCATGGACTTTCGGGGTAGGATCTCAATTCCACTGTCTAGTGATCCTTAACTTCTCATTATAAATAAGGTGTTAAAAGCTGACTGAAAGTTATGTCAGGCTGTGCTATTGGATGAAAAGTCTAGATCTGCCATTTGGGGGCAGGGTCCCCAGCTATGATTATTCTTAGGTCCTTTCTGCTCCATTTCTCAAATCTGTCAGGATTTTCAGTGTGCGCGCGCGTACACACACACACACACACACACACACACACCCACCCACGGCCACCAGGATGGGATGCATACCACAGGCGGCCATGTGGGATCTGACTCCCTTAACCACTAGGCCATGGGCTGGCCTCTTAAACAGACTTTCAAGCATTGGTGCTGTGTTGGGCTTCCCTCAGAGGGGCCTAGTGTGAGAGGCTCCGTGGCCCAGGCTGAGGCCTCACTACCAACCTCCTCTGCACTAAACTTTTCTCTGCTCAGCCCACTGCTCCTTGGCAGTCTTTTTTCAGAAGTTTGGTTTCTTGCCTGTGGTTGTCTCCTTTCCCCACTGGTCTCTCTCTAATCCCTTTACTGCAACTTTAGTGGTGTTTCGAAAGGGAGTGGAGGCAATTGAGTATCGTCTGCTCTGTTTGATGGAAAGTGCATACAAATTCTCTAATGAGCGATTGAGGAGGGAGAAGAATAAAAGTGTGATGGCTATAAATTTATATTATTTTATAGCATTTGAGGTTCAGCTGTTTGTGAAAAGCAATTTAAATAAAAGGATCGTGTTGGAGAGCAGTTGTTTATATTCACGTTATAGTATTTCAACTCCTAATAAAAGTTAGGGGAGATCAGAGACAAGTAGGATGAATAAAAAGAGTTACTGCCTGTATAGCTAAGGTTCATGGCTGACTGGATAGTAGAAGGTTCCAGTGTCTGACTTTTTCTAGAATTGCATGTTGAATCTAAGTGTTCTGGTTTTAGAAGTGCTCCATGGTGTGGTTTAGTGCACGGACTTGAAAACTGCATAGACCAGGGTTTCAGTTCCTCCTGCTTTGCCATGTGTGGGCCATGACCAAATTTTTTAACTTATTTGAGTCTGTTTCTTAACCTAAAAATAGAAGAACCTGTGTTTTTTCTCCCAAAGATATTAGGTGGGAATGAATGAATTGATATATGTTAAGTGTGTAGGCTTGCTGACCACTGAGTACATGTTTTACTTACTGTGGGATGTTCTAGGTCTCATATTGTATCTGGCATCAACCGTTTCCTATGCCTGGAAACAAGATTGGCCTGGTGACTGCTCATGAATTGCCCCCTTGTAGCAGGATACCACTGGCTCATCTTTTAACCCTTGGATGTACTGAGGCCAGCAGTGAGGGAACTTATGAGGGGAGAGAGACAGTGTTTGACTCAGACCTGCCCAACTCCCAAGTCTGTTCTTAATGCCCTGACTCCTCTGTGTTGAGTGTTTTTCACAGTTAGCAATTGCCTCTGCATAGAACAGCGATAGACAGTTAAAGAGAAAGGTATGGGTGCTGTTCAAAGGCTCTGAATAGCATTGGGTTCCATGTTCTAACTGTTCACAGTAACCACTTCACATTCATGTGAGAGCCCACATTTCAGAAAATACTTACTGTTAAAGAATTATTATTATTATTATTATTATTATTATTACCACAGTGTATGTGCTCACTAGAAGGGGAGGGAGAGGGAGAAAGCATCCTCACAATGGAGCGTGGTCACGCCGCAGTCTCTCTTTCTCCATCCTGCTGAGACTTTGGGTTCACAAGCACATACATGTCCAGCTCGTTTTTCAAGCTGTCGGGACTACGTGGTTGGTTGTGTAGGATCCAACTCCCTTAGCCACTAGGCCACAGTGCTGTCCCTTGAGAATATTTTTGAAGAACATATTGAGTTGATATGGAAATAGATCTCTTCAGATTTGCTGTCACTATATCCAGAACAGTTAGGCCTAGACTAAGTACAGGTATGTCCTGAGCAGTGGGTATGTCATGGGTTGGGGCAGTTACACATCATCAGACAGTAATAACAAAGGGCTCTCCCACCCCAGTCCTTTATAGGAAGAGAGTAGATGAAGTTGGAAAAACTGCCAATGATCCATTTAACTTTAGGGAGTAAGTAGGGAACCAAAAACGTAGATAGGTGTCTGTCCTGGTTCCATTTCTGCCTGCCCACTTCAGATCCTTCTTTCTAGTTGCCGTCTTCTACAGCAGACACTTTAGCCCTCCCCCTCCCCAGTGTTTCCCACTGTGGATGTGTGCATGTGTGGATATATGTATATTTTAGATAAAAAAAAAACAAGTCCTGTTGGATATCCTGCATTTCCCATATAGATTGTAGACATTTTTCCTATCCCCCATAACCACTCAATTTTTTGCCTTAAAAAATTAACTTTTTTGGAGATGGTTAAATAAATTATAAAGACAGTCATATGATTAAATACTTCATTAGTCATTTAAAAGCCATGGTTACTTGGGCCAGGAGGTGGTGTCGTGGTTAGGGTGCTGGACGCCCACATGGCAGACAGCAGTTTGAGTCCCATACCCAGGGGCTTGCAAATCACACAGGGCGCTTATGCCTAAAGTCCTGAGAGGAGAATGGAGAAGGGATTGTGGCATCACAGTCACCACTGTGGGGGGTGATTTCTCACTTGCTCTCGCTCGCTCGCTCGCTCTTTCTCTCTCTGGTGAACACATGCGCCCTATGGCAAAATCTGAGAAAACAAAAACAAACCCATGGGTTATTAAGTCTGAAATCACATCCTCATTGGTAAGGTACTATAAGACTCTTTGATAACATGGCATATTGTAAGATGTAGTGTATTAAACTAGCTGAGAATTGGGTCTTTTTTATATAGTTCAGTTGCTTTTGCAATAGACCTTTAGATGGCAGCATCTCTCACCACAAGCCCTGTTTTGAACAGAATTTCTCAAATGCATAAGATCTTTGAGACAGAAGGTTGCTCTAAATCTGCCTGCATCACCCGTTCATTGCGTGGTGATGAGTCAGGGCCCTGGGACTATCGACTGAGGCTAGGGTTGCTGTGGGGAGGTTGAGACCCCCTGCCTGGTATTCTTTCTGACACTGGCTTCCCTTACTGATATAAAATACTCCTTGTCTCTGTGGTCTTTTTAAAAGTCATTTTAATTATAAAGCAACCAAGGAAAGCAAGAGTCAAGTGGGTGATTCTGGACAAAAATGTACTGTGATATTTGAAAGGAGCAAACAGATTGGGTAGTCTTTTTTTTTTTTTTAAGCTTTATTTATATATAAATCACGTATCAGACAATTAATCCATTTAAAACATATAGTAGAGTGATTTTGGTAGATTCACAAGATTGTACAATCTTTGCTACAATCTTATTTTAGAACATTTTATCACCCCCCAAAAAAGTCCTATGCCTTTTAGCCATCACCCCACAAGCCTGCATGTCCCTCAGAACCTGGCAACTCTTCATGCTTTCTATTTTTATAGATTCGTCTATTCCAGACATGACATATGAATAGAATCATATAGCATATAGTCTTTTCTGACTGGCTTCTTAGCCCACGTTTTCACGTTTCACCATGTTGTGGCATAAATCAGTGCTTCTTTCCTTTTTATTGTGTAATATTCCATTACAGGGATATACCACATTTCGCTGTCATCTGCTGATGGGCCTTTGGCTGTTACAAATAATGCTGCTGTGAACATTTGTGTACAAGCTTTTGTGTGAATATTTACTCATACAGGAGTGCGATAACCCTGTGTGTAACCTTTTGAGCATCTGCCAAACTGCTCTCCAAAGTGACCATGCCATCACACACTCGCAGCAGCAGCAACACAGGAGGGTTTCATCAACCTTATTAGTAAGAATTTCCACATTTTCCAATGATAAGTTGGGTTGGTGGAGGAGGTAGCAGATAAGACTCAGTGTCGTATATATATCCCTGAATCACAGTCTGGACTGGTTGCTGTGCCTTTTGGAGGCAGTGACATTAGGTGCCAAGAAAGCAGTTGTCTCCTGTGCCCCTCGCAACTGCTGTGCGTCACCAGCCTGATAAGACCCCTGTGTTCTGTGGCTGTTCCGAGCGTGTTGATACCACAAGCCGACTCTTTGTAAGCCTTGCCTCCTGACTTTGGAGATACAAAGCAACCACATCGTCTTTTTCCTAGATAGAGAAAAAGTCTGTTTTTTTTTTTTTAAACAAACAAACAAACAAACAAACAAACAAGCAAAACCCTTCTCCACACACTGTCCAGGCTTGAACATGTCAAAATCACCTACTTGACACACAGCAGAGAAAGCTGTAGAGACTTCCCAGTGAAAGGACAGCTTTTGTTTTTGTCAGAGTTTACATTTTCCTTTCTGTGTCTACTCTTTTCTTCTTTGGCAGCCCAGACAGGACATTCCCGTGTCTGTACTGAAGGGACTGTGTGTGTGTGCTCAGGGGAGGGGAAGGGGCCGACTCGTCCTCTAGGCGTATTTGGGTCCTGGGAAGAACGCACACTGTACATTCTGAAGCTTTGTTTGCATCTGGAAAAAATTAGCCACACTCAGATCTTTCCTGCTGCAGGTCCCGTCAGGAAGCCCAAGTATGTGGAAAGCCCCAGAGTGCCTGGAGATGCGGTTATAATCCCGTTCAGAGAGGCACCCCTGCCCGCTGAGCCCAGTGAGAATGGTAAGAATACATTTTCAGTGATCTCACCCCCCACCCCGAAGACTTTACATACGGCACCCGCCATTTCTGAATGAAACTCTGGTGCCTCTTGCAGGAACGCTTGGCTGAACTGGATGTATTTGAGAGTTGTTTATTTTTTTTCCTCCCTGCTCTTGGGCTGAGATCTGTTTAGCTAATGTGAATTCTTGGAATTACATACACGGGGTAGGGATAGCTGAGTGGTACATATGCATTGCTTAGGGATTGAGTCTTATTTCATCTGAATTTTGACCTATCCAGCAAGGGGAATACAAAAAGTTAGGAGACTGCTTCCAAGATTTCGTTTTGTTTTTAATACTCTGTCATTTTAGAATATTCAATACAGGCTTGGGCTGAAAAGCTAAAACTTTAACTGGACAAAGCTTATAATAATTTTTTTACAAAAACATTTGGTAACTTTTTGGAAGCCTCTTATTTTTTTTGGGGGGAGAACATTGAAAGTTTTTCTTTAAGGAATATTACAATAGGGGCAAAAATATTCCAAATTGATTAAGACCTTTTCATGAAAATTTTTATATTTTTGTCATTCTATAATTGGAAATACATATAACAGACATTTTAAATTTGTAGCCCTTAACAGATGTGTGGATAGTTCTTTGTTTTTAAAACCAATTCAGGAACGTACCTGTTTGTGCCTTTCTCCCAACTGCCAACTCTTTGGTTTTTAATGAGTGTATCTCAAAGTTGTACTCTTATTTTCTTATAGGAACGTAGGGTTAGGGATCATGGCCTCTGTAAAGCAGCTTATTTTACCCGTTACTTGTGTGGACACGAGTTGATGTAGTAGGACCGAGAGGGAACTCAGGAGAGGAAACCTATCAGTGTTTCCTCTTCAGCCCCGCCTGTGCCTTGTTAGTGGTGAGAGGGGATGCGACTCCTTTATGTCCTAACCGCTGTGCGTGTTCTTAGCTAGCTTTCTATGGCAGTGTGTGTTTCTAGGTCTGTATGGCAGAGAGTGGGAAAGAAAGTGGAGTGAGATGGCCGTGAGAATGCAGCCAAAAATGAGCTGAGAGGAGGGGTGCGAAGGGCATTTGGAACTGGTGGGTGGAGAGGTGGGGCCAGCGCCAGCACTTGTAGCAGGTGAGAGGTGCTATTGCAGGTGTCCTGGAGTGAGTAATTCCACCCCTGCCCTTTCTGTCCAGGTGCCCAGTTGTGTCGTTTAGGTAAGAAGCTCACAACAAGGATTCAAGGATTTGTCCCGGGGGTGGGGAAGTGTCAAGCATGTGTGTGATGAGGCTCAGGAATCCACGGGGAATGCCTGGTTAGGACAGCCATCTGCTGATATGTGAGGTCTCTCTTGGTTGTGAATTCACGTGAGCAGGTGGTCTGTTTTTTCATTTCTCTTCTGTGTGTAGAAAGGGAAATAAAAATCTATTCATCATGAAGCTCCTATCGATCATCAAATTTACCAAGTGGTCTGCCCATTTCAGATTAAGCCTGCCACACCTTACCCTCACCCCTACCTGAAGAAGTCACTGTAGTCCTGATTGATTAGGGATTTTGGCCGCCAGACTCCATATGTAACCTCTTCCTCCCTGGCTGGGCAAATTGTTGAGGGTTCTGGGTAGAGAAATTTAGGATTTTAATGGGCAAAGAAAAGAGGTTATAAGTAGTTCCTCATTTTCAACTTTTTTCCCCTTGCAAGAGGCAAAACTGGCCACTTTCTTGGTGAAAGGAGATAGGGTTCTGTGCTTGGCTAAGGGCAGAGATAAATTCAGGTGCAGGGACTGGTGTTGCCAGAGTGGCTTGTGGTTCATCTGCGTGATACACCTGAGACCCAAACTTTCAAATTCACCACCATCAGGCTCCATGGGGACCAAAATTGTGACAAACATAGGCTATAGGTACAGGGCCAGAAGTTGCCATTTCACCTCAGATTAAGAAACGGGGAACATTGTCACTTTCCTAGGTGTCTGGGAAGAGGGTGTCGTTCATGTCTGTGGGCACATGGTCATGTGTGAAGACAACCATGATGTTGGTGGAAGCCCCAGCAGAGTTATCTTTCTGTTGGCTGCTGAGGATGCAGTTGCCTAACAACACTGAACCTGACAATTAATAAAGGGTGATGTGTTTTTTTAGTCCATATGGAATCCTTTAAATTTCAATGGGGTTAATTAAGTCTGCCATATTAAAGTGCAAATTTTATGTCCAGGTCAATGAACCTAAAGAGGAGGCTAGAGCTCACTTAATAATGGACCTAGCCATCTACAGATGCATGATGGGCAAACACTGATTTCTAGAGTTAAATATCAACATCGTCCCTTAACTTTTACCTTAAAATGTGTCATCTCCTCAGATTTCCTTGGGTAATTCTTATTTATGTCTCTAAGGTACTTTTCTGGGTGCTGTCAATAATAGCATGTTAATATTCACCAAATGAACAGACTGTATGGACAGCTCCTTGAGAAATGCTTTTGAAATTTCACATAGACTCGTAAAATACCAAGTTATTCCTAAATGATTGAAATAACTTTTCCCAGACTACGCTGCCTCATTTTTGCTTTGGTGGTTATACAACTCCATTAATGTGTGATTCGGCTCTCTGTTTGAAATTTAAATAGAAGGAAAACAAAACCACTGAGTACATTGAATTTTTTATTAATTTTTTTATTTAATAATTGTATTTGTGTGTATCTTGCCTATTTTAGCCACATAGGAAATGGGCTCAGTGATAGGGGCAAGTGAACTTTTTTGGTAAGCAAAGATTCTATTTGGTAAGGTTTGCATTAACCTAAAAACATCTTTATGATGTAAACATTCTATAATACCTTATTCAGTATTTTAAAATATTCTTGAATGATAGCATTTTCTTTCTTTTTTTACATTTTTGCCATAGGGTGCCTGCATTCACCAGAGACAGTAAGAGGGAAAGTGAGAAGCCATTCCCTCCGGGGTGATGTTCATGCCGGGATCCCTTCTCCTCCATTATCCTCCCAGGATCTTGGCCAGGCATGCATATGTGTCCAGCATGAGTTTTAAGCTGCCAGGTCTGAGACTTGAACTGTGGGAGTCCAGCACCTTAATTCACCATATGCCATCTCTTGGTCCCATAGCATTTTCTACTGTGACCAAACAGTAACTTCATAACATCCTCAAACAAAATACAAACCCCTATTTCCCTAAAAAACTCTGCATCATATCATATAGATCTTTTATAAATAACCTTTCTATTGCTAAACCAACATAGTATTTAGGGAGAAAGTGTCATTTATCCACCAAACAGTGCCTCTACTTTCAGGGGGGAAAAATGCCCGGATAATGAGAAATGATGATTAAATTATAACAGGATTCACAGCTTTATTTCTTGAATTAGGGACAACTATAATCCATTTAGGTTTGCTTTAATATATCATTAGCTACTTGAGCAAGCTTCCATAGGGAGGGGTGAGAAAGTTTTTATCTCATGAGTCATTTCTCAGTGAAGATCAGTCTCAAAATAAGATGAAACTTTTTCTGGCCTTGTGGTTTGCACGTGTAACACATAGAAAAACAACAAAATAATTTAACTCCAAACGAAAGAGTCTTTTTTAGATAAATGTTTAAGTCAATATTTTATTGACACTTATGTTTTTATTACTATTTCAGACATTCAAAAAGATGTAGAGAATTAAAGAGTATAAAGAATCATGGCACCTATCCACCTACTATTTGAAAAAATAAAGCATAACTGTGTATTCCTCCCAGTATTTCCCTTCCTTTCATCAGAGGTATCCTTAGTCCTCCTTTATCTTTACTTTTCAGCTTCTTAGAGTGGTAATGCATCATTAACCAATAGTTGTACAAGCTTTAGTTAGATGGAGGTACAGAAGGGAGGCATATCTCAGGTGTGTGTGGCAGAAGAGAAACTAGGGGTAGAATATCCATTCATTCTGCATCTGCTCGAATAAATATTAGTTCAGTTCCTGCCTTGTGAAAAGTAAGATGTTGAATGCCATTCGAGATGAGTTACCAAGCATAGATCCTTGCTTCATGGAGCCTCCGAGTCTGGTGGGGGATTAAAAATCTGTACAAAGAGTGACTAGAGCACAAAGGAGGAAGTCATGCTGGCTAATCTGAGCTGGGCAGTGAATTGAGACGTTAGCAGATGGGATTTTCGAGCATGGGAAAGACTTAATTGGAGTTATGCTTTAAGATTTACCTGGTGGTGTAGTCCCTTCAGGCTACTATAACAAAAATATCAAGAATTGGGTGATGGATAAATCACAGATTTACTTCTCACAGTTCTGGAAACTGGCAGGTCTGAGATCAAGGTGCCCACAGATTTGCTGTCTAGTAAGACTTGCTTTCTAGTTCCTAGACAGCTGTCTTTTCACTGTAACCTCGTATGGTACAAGGGGCAAGCAGGCTTCCCCTTCGCCTTTTAGGGAATTAGGGCAGTAGTCTCCCCTTCATGAGGGCTTTGCCATGAGGGAAACCATAGATTTTTTGCTCTCTGTCTTCTATGATAATGGCCACTTCCTTTCCATGGTGTTTGCAGTGTCAAAAATCTACAGGAAAATCAAAAGAGGAGGTTTGCAACTAAAAAGAAGAGGTCAACTTGCTTTTCATTTTTAATGCTTAGCATTCTTATTCTTTAAGAATCATTTATTTAACTTTATTATTTATTTATTTAACTTTAATTTGACCAGAGAGAGGCAGAGTGGAAGGGGGAAGAGAGAGGGAGAGAAAGTGAGAAAGCAAGCCCAACAAGTCCAGGACTCGAATCATGGTCGGCCATGCAGGAGTGTCCAGCGCCTTAACTACCACACTACCCACTGGTCCCCAGTGCTTAATATATTAAATGGGACTGCTTTAAGAGAGCTGTGAGTTGAAGTTATAGATCTGTGATAAGGATTAGTGAGGATTAAATGATCCTTTAACCAAAAAGTTTAGCAGGTAAGGGAAGATGAGAGATCAGTGACTAGGATGAGAGGTATATGACTGTAGTTTTTTGTTGTTGTTGTTGTTGTTGTTGTTGTTGT